TGTGTCCAATTGTGAATCTGTGAAATTTGTCTTGCCTCAATATCCAACTCTATGTATTTGTTACTCTGTGTGCATGAAAGTCAACAAATATGCTACATACAATATATCAATCTCACACCCCCAACTAATCAGCGTCCCCTCCCCATACATAAATATATATCAATCCCGCAAGGCAGATGCTGTCGCAGGCTTCGCCCGCTCCGGCATCTGCCTCCTTGCCATTGTGCACATAGCAAACATGAGTCACATATACTCTAACAATCTCAACCTTGACAAATATTCACTCTTTAGGAGAAAAAGAGAACATGTATTCGAGAACTCCACCGGGGACGCTAAGTTGGGGCATCTCCCATCTAGCAATTAGAGACATTCATCAAGTCCAAGTAGTGCTTGAACTTGTCTGTAGTAATAGGCTTTGTCAACATGTCTGCTGCATTCTTAGAAGTGTGAACTTTCTTAAGTAATAGTTCACCAGAAGAAACCAGCTCTCTGATCTTATGAAACCTCACATCTATGTACTTGGTCCTCGCATGATACACTTGGTTCTTTGTCAAATAAATGACACTATGACTGTCACAATGCAACTGAACTCCACCTTGCTAGGCACCCAGCTTGGTGACCAAACCTATAAGCCACAAAGCCTCCTTGGCAGCTTCAGCTACTGTCATATACTCTGACTCAGTAGTAGATAGTGCAACTATAGGTTGTACCATCGACTTCCAATAAATAGGTCATCCCACAAGAGTAAACACATAACCTGTGGTAGACCTTCTGTCATCCAAGTCCCCTGCATAGTCTGCATCCACATATCCCACAACTGAAGGGTCACTCTGTTGTCTGCTAAACATGATGCCATAGTTTGTAGTGCCCCTCAAGTATATGAAAATCCACTTAACTGCATCCCAATGCTGTCGACCCGGATTTGAAAGAAACTTGCTAACCACGTTGATAGCTTGTGCCAAATCTGGTCTTTTACAAACCATAGTATATATCAAACACCCCACTGCACTAGCATATAGGACCTTTGACATGTCATGAACTTCATCATCTGTCTTCGCACTGAGCGGTAGACAATCTGAAATGATTCGCCAAAGGTGTACTTACTGGTTTTGCATAACTCATGTTGAACCTGTCCAACACCTTCTCAACATAGCTATGTTGAGATAGCCATAATCTCTTGGAACTTTTGTCCCTGCGAATCTCCATCCCAAGAATCTTCTTAGCAGCACCCAAATCCTTCATGTCAAATTCTCTGCTCAACAAAGTCTTCAACTTGTTGACCTCACTCATACTCTTGGCAGCAATCAACATATCATCCACATAAAGTAACATAAAAATAAATGAATCATCATCAAGGCTTTTCACATAGACACAACAATCATACTCACATCTTTTGTAGCCAATCCGGATCATGTAAGAGTCAAATCGCTTGTACCACTACCTCAGAGACTGTTTCAGCCCATAAAGTAATTTCTTCAAATTACAGACCAAATGTTCCTCTCTAGGGAGACAGAACCCTTCTAGCTGTACCATGTAAATCTGTTCCTCCAAGTTGCCATGAAGAAAAAATGTCTTTACATCCATCTGCTCCAACTGTATATCTGAATGTGCTTCTAATGGCAACATTGTCTTGATGGAAGTGTGTCTGACCACGGGGGAGAAGATCTCATCATAGTCAACCCCTTTTCTCTGTGAGTAACCCTTTGCTACTAGACGAGTCTTGAATTTTTCTCCCTCCTTTTCTGATACTGTTTCTTTCTTTTTATACACCCATTTGCACCCTATCGCTCTCTTCCCCTCGGGAAGCTCCACCAACTCCCATGTCTGGTTCTTATGCAAAGACTCCATCTCCTCCACCATAGCACCCATCCATCTACTTTTCTCTTGGCTTTGTATTGCCTCCTGAAAAGTTGTAAGATCCCCACTACTAGTAATAAGCGCATAAGAAATCAAATCTTCAAAACCATACCTGATAGGCGGCTTGATATTGCGTTTGGGCCTATCTGTGTCTATACTATGATACTGCTGATCACCTGAGATAGAACTCTCTACATGCTGAGCATCCTCTTCTCTACCATGGTTCTCTAGCTCCACTTGCACCACATGCTCATTAGTGCTACAGTTTTCTGGCACTTGTTTCTCTTCTTCCTGAGTACTCTGCAACATGGCTTTTTTTTTATCAAAAACCACATCTCTACTGACCACTTTCTTGTTTACCTTCGGATCCCAGAGCTTGAAGTCTTTCACCCCTTTCTGATATCCCAAAAAGATACACTATCTAGACTTCGCATCAAGCATTGACCTCTCCTCACTGGAAACATGTACATAGGCTGGACATCCAAACATTCTCAATCCAGAGTAGTCTACCTCACTGCCTGTCCACACCTCCTCTGATACTTTCTCATCTAATGCTGCCCTCGGTGATCTGTTAATCAAGAAACATGTTATATTCACTACCTCTGCCCAAAAATTCTTTGCAAGCCCTGCATTAATCCTGAGACACCGAGCTTTCTCAGCTATCGTTCTGTTCATCATTTCCGCTACACCATTTTGTTGTGGTGTTTTGCGGACTGTGAAGTGTCTCTTGATCCCATGCTGCTCACACAACTCCTGGAACTTTGAATTTGTATACTCAATACCATTATCTGACCTGATGCATTTAATCTTCCTCCCTGTTTGGTTCTCTACTTCAGCTTTCCACAACTTGAACTTGGCAAACGCTTCGGACTTGTGCCGCATGAAGTACGCCCAGACCTTTCGCGAGTAGTTATCAATGAAACTCACGAAATACATGTATCCTCCTCGTGATACTACGCTAACTGGACCCTAAACATCTATATGGACATAGTCGAGAATCCCCCCTGTCTTGTGTGTGGCTGTCTTGAACTGCACCCTATTCTGTTTTCCAATAACACAATATTTGCAAAAATTGAGCTTGCATGTCTTGACACCTTTCAATAGATTTTTCTAATGAAGCTCTATCATCCCACGCTCACTTATATGACCCAGTCGCATATGCCACAAGACTGAACTATCTGATTTAGACTCTACATCAAGAACTCTACCTACAATCGTGGTACCCAGCAATCTGTAAATGTTTCTTGCTACTTTTTGTCCCTTCATCACTGTCAACATGCCTTGACTCACTTTCATTACTCCACTTATAGATTTGTAACTATAACCATTACAATCTAAAGTGCCTAATGAAATCAGATTCTTCTTTAGATTCGGTACATGTCCAACATCACGCAACGTTATAATCACACCATCAAACATCTTAATTCTAATATTCCATACTCCAACAACTTTGCAGGATGCATCGTTACCCATCAGAACAGAACTAGAATTTACTGACTTATAGGTGTCAAACCAATCTTTGTTGGGTGTCATGTGATATGAACATGCTGAATCCATAATCCAGGAATTTGTTAGACGATCTGAACTGGATGAAACAGAAAGCATATCACCGTCACCGCTCTCTAAATCTTCTTCTTCCACTACGTTTGCAGAATTTGATGAACCCTATTTGTCCTCCGAATCCCCTTTCTTTTTCTCTGGACAGTCCCGTTTAAAGTGCCCCTTTTTTCCGCACTTGTAACACGAGAAGGAGACGTCCTTCTTCTTCTTCGTCGACTTAGACCGGGCTTTATTGTTACTCGATCTATTTCGAGATTTGTTTCTTCCACGTTCCTGGTTACCTTTCACCACAAGCCCTTCACCTTGTGAAGCCTCATCACTGGCTTTCTTCCGCTGATGAAAACCTAACAGAGCACCTATGACATCCTCCAACTCGAGGGTTTCTTTCCCCCACATCAAAGTCGTAACCAAATTCTCGTATGTTGCAGATGCTAGTAGGGAATTCAGCAACATCAACGCCTTGTCTTCGTCTTCAAACTTCACATCAACTCGCTTTAGATCGTTGATGATCTGATTGAACACGTTGATGTGTTGGGTCAGATCCGAGCCCTCTGACATCTTAAGACCATATAGTTTCTGCTTAAGATAAAACTTGTTCGTCAACGACTTGGACATATACCGACTTTTCAGTTTCAACCAAACTTTCGCCGGTGATTCCTCATCCATGACGTGTTACATCACGTCATCAGCCAGACAAAGCCTAATAGTCGCCACAGCCTTCGCTTCTAATTCTTTCCAATCCATGTCGTCTATTCCTACCGGTTGTTTTCCGTATAACGCCTTCACCATGCCCTGCTGCACTAACAGGTCCTTCACCCTCCTCTGCCATAATCCGAAATTTCCAGTTTCGTCGAACTTCATGATGTCGAATTTTGCAGAAGAAATCCTAGACATCGTAACCTGGCTCTGATACTAGTTGTTGTGATCATGTAACAATTATGGTGAATAATAAAGAATCAAATAATTAAGAAAGCAAGAGAAAATAACATAGAGATTTACGTGGTTCGGCAATGTGCCTACATCCACAGGAGCGAGCGGCCATTTTTTTTCATTATTCAAAGTAGGGTTACATCTTAAGTATTTATATAACTCTAGTACGGACGTATTTACAAAATACTCCTGTACCGTACTGCGGGGCTGTTGCCCCCGCACCCCCAACTAATCAACATCCCCCCATACATAAAATATATCAATCACGCAAGGTAGATGCCGTCACGAGCTTCACTCCGACAGCTATCTCCTTGTCATTGTGCACACAGCAATGAGTAACAAATATTCTAACAATTAGGTAGCTAACCACAAAGTTAGGTAGCTAACCACAAAGTTATGTAGCAAGATCTACCAGTCAAATCATAGTACTGACATGGTGTATGCCCTCACATAAGATGAATAATATCATTATTATAATTATACGGTACAGATTTCCTTCAATTGGGTCTTCTTGTTCTTTATGTAACAACAGTAAAATATTATTTGCTGACCCCTATATACAGAAGAGGAAGAGGCCAGGGTATGTACCTCACTTAAGTGGCCGAGAAACCAATCACTGTTTTGTTGGGTATAGGTTTCAAGAGCAAATTAAAATGGTGCTAAATGTTGAGATAATCTCCAAAGAGATGGTTAAACCATCGTCCCCAACACCCCATCACCTTAAACATCACAAACTATCCTTCTTAGACCAATTTCAACCACCGGTTTACATTCCCTTCATTTTCTTCTATTCTTATGATCAGTTGGGCTACGATGGTCGAGTCCAAAAACATCAAGCACTGAAACAATCTTTATCAGACACCTTAACCCTGTTTTACCCATTAGCAGGGCGGGTCAAAGGCAACGTTGTCGTTGATTGTAACGACAACGGAGTTGAGTATGTTGAGGCTCAAGTCCGAGCTCAGCTCTCACAAGTCATTGAAAATCCCAATCCTGAAGAACTAGAACAGTACCTCTCCGTAGAACCCTGGATTCTCATTGTAAGTGAGATACTCCTATCCATCCAAATCACCTTTTTTGACTGTGGCGGGATGGCCATCGGTGTGTGCATGTCTCACAAGTTAGGAGATGGATTGTCGTTGGTCTCATTCATCAATTCATGGGCCGCCAAGTCTCGTGGGGATCATAGCAAAATTCTTGGTCCTATTTTTGATGCGGCACTCCACTTCCCACCTAGAGATTCCTTAGAGTATACACCAACTGCGGCTATCACCAAACAAGACAAGATTGTGACAAGAAGGTTTGTGTTTGATAAATCAAAGATAGCAGCACTCAAGGAAGCTGCCTCCTCCTCACAAGTGAAGAACCCTAGCCGTGTAGAGGTCGTCTCGGCTTTCATCTGGAGGCATTTCATGGAGGTGGTGACACAGTCACAGGCCAAGCTTAAAGTGGATACCCAAAAGATTTTTCTACTAATCCATATGGTGAATTTGAGACCCAAGCCGAGTCCACCCCTACCAGATCATGCGTTTGGAAACATTTGTTGGTTTACGCCTCCAATGTTGAAGCTCGAGAGTCCCAAAGATCATCATGATCTGGTTAGCCAGTTGAGGGGCAAGATAAGGGAAATCAACAGTGACTATGTGAAAAAAATACAAACTGGAGAGGAGTACTTAAAACTTCTCAATAGATCCAACGAAAACCAGTCAACAACAGTAGACACAGAGACCTTTATTTTCAGCAGTCGTTGTGGGTTTCCTCTATATGAGGTGGACTATGGGTGGGGCAAGCCTGTTTGGGTTTGCCCTCCCGCCAGTCCAACAAAGAATAGGGTGACCTTAATGAGTACCAGATCCGGGGATGGAATAGAAGCATGGGTAACCATGCTTGAAGAAGACATGGTTATGTTCGAAAACAATCACGAGATTCTTTCACTTGTCCCAACCCTATCAGTGCCTCAAAATCCTATTGTGGATTAATTATTCTAGAGTAATGTTATTTGTACCAAAAAATTTGACTTAATTTGTTGATATAATGATGTGGCTTAATAGGAATCATTAAATTAATATCAAGTTCTAACGTTTGATGGGGCTTACAACTAATTTAAAGGTTACACTAAATTAGATCAATAAATTAGGTCAAATTTTTAGGTCCCAATAACATTGCTCATTGTTCGTGTCTATACGCAAAGGGTGTTCGGGCCAAATATTCTAAAGTATGCATTTACCATCTTGTTCATGTATAATGTAGAACGTGCAGCTGCAGTGGTTGTCTTGATGTTGGGATTTTGTGGGTGTCATATATTTGGATTCCTTCCACATTATGTGTTACTTTTTACTATAATACCAATTAGAACCTAAGAGGTATGAATACGGGTACGGATACGGGTATAGACACGAACACGATACAGACACATGGATACATTATTTCTAAAAAAATTAGAACACAGAAACGTTATTTCTAAAAAAAATAGGACAAGAACACGTTGGAAACATGTTGAATAAATATAAATATTTAATTTTTATATGAACAATAGTTCATAAATTTGACCTAATACACAATTTTATACATATTTTTGTCCAAGTAAATGAATAAATTTGGCTCAAACGTAACCAAATTATAATGGGAAATTTGGAAGTCGGTCTCCTTATATGGATTTATTTGGATTTAACTCTGTCAAGAAAATTTATTTGTTATGAAATCTGTTTTTTGTCAATTTTACTAAACTATTCATTCCTTTTAAAAGTGAAGTAGAACTAAAAATTTAAAACTCCTACATTTTACGAGTTTTCACTAACATTAAAAGTTTTTATCTATCATATCTATCTATATTCATATGAGCAATGCTATTAAGACATAATTTGAGGACATAATGAGTTGTCACAAATGATATGATAATGAATTCATTAATGCCACAATAGGACCCATCATTAAATTCATTTCACTATCATTTCATTGGTGACAACTCATTATGTCCCCAAATTATGTCCTTCAATTATGTTCCAATAGCATTAGTGATATCCATAAATAGGATAGAGCAATGCTATTGAGACATAATTTATGAACATAATTTTGGGACATAATGAGTTGTCACAATGATATGATAATGAATTCACTTAATAATACAATGAGATTTATCATTAAATACATTTTATTATCATTTCATTGGTAACAACTCATTATGTCTCCAAATTATATCCCAATAGCATTAGTGTATAGGATAAGACTATATCTCTCATATATATATATATATATATAGCAATAGTAATATTCAATATTAATATTTTAAGAAAATAGCAATAGTAACATGTTCAACAAAAATATTAACATGCGTAACAAAAATAGTAACATGATTAACCAAAAAAAAATGCAATATGGAATATTAAACAAAACTGAAAATAAAAATAGTGACATTCAAACCCATAATCAAAAGAAGAAACATCCAATTCTTCAGCATCCAAAAAAGTAACACTAAAAAAATAGTAACTTGGTCAATTAGAAAAAATAGTAATATGATCAACAAAAAAAGTAGTAACATGAAACATTAAAAAAATTTACAGATTATTTATCAAAAAAATAAAATTAAAATTAAGGATCAAACTAATAACACATTAAGCCCTGCAATAATTATAACACTTAGCCATAATTGGGGATCATTAAAGAAGGTGTTATGATTTGTGCTTTTTTTGTGGAGGGATAGAAAATTATAGGGTATGGGGTGTAAAAACCGGTAAATTTAAACTTTTGTAAACAAGGGCAAAATGGTAATTTTATCGTTACAGTACGGGTTGAAAATCTGAATTTTTTTAAACCTCGGATGACGAAACGAATCTCACCGTTGGATTTGTCTTGCGAAATCTAATTACTACGTCAAATTAAATCAAATTCCGAAATAGTCGAATTTTTCGCGTTTTATGAAACGGTCAAGTCTCGGGTGACCAAAAACCGAAATTTTCAATAAAATTTTGAAAGTTGGGAAATAATTTAAGGCAAATTAAATAAAATTAATTTGAACTTGAACTGGGGCAAAATTTAATCGTTTCAAGATGAAAACGGACCCAAAAAAAAAAGAGTCGTGTGGCGCGTTGTGGGCCAAGCATTGAGGAATATAAATAGGGAAAAAAATCAGATTTTTCACCCATTCTTATGCCGAGCAGTTAACCGTTAGCCGTTAACCGTTAACCGATAGAGAAGAGAGGGAAAAGAGATAGCTACTTCACCTTCTCTCTACGATCTACGACGTTCCGTCGCTTAAATCCACTCGGCCCAAGAGGAAGAGTTGATCTCCTAGCCAAGGGCTATGCCTACGCACCAAAAACAAGAATTTTCACCGAATGTTGAAAAACGGGATTTTGGGGGGAGAAGATTCTAGCTAGGAGCAGGTTATTGGGGATTTCCTACGGTCATTCTTCACGCTTCAAGAGATAGGGTTCCTTCTTACTCGGGTTTAATTTTACAACTTAGGTATTATATGTAATGGATAGGTTGAGAAATATATGTATCACTTGTCTATGGATATAGAATTGGTGAAATGAGTATTGAAATTGGGTAAGACGAATTTTACCTTGAAAGACTTGTGAATTGATCAAATATATCCATTGAATTGATTGTTATGTGGGCATGTTATGTGTACATTTTATGTCATGGGAGTTAAGTGTGTTGTTAGCATATTTTATGTTATAACATGTTTGTGAATTGTTGTTGAGAATGATATATATTAATATATAGCATTGAGAGAAAGTTTGGTGATTATATGCTTCGGATATAAATTACCATGAGACTTGTTTGAATGTAGTTAATTTTGTTCATGTGGCATTCATTACTTGTGGGCATGATGTTGAATTAGTAATGATGCATTACATTGCATATACACGTGGACATCGCATTTTATGGGTGTGGGTGCATGATTAGCATCAAACAGCATGTAGGTGGATGATGGGTGGGCTCGGGGAAGTTGAATTGAATATCCGGCTGAGTCACCCGATTGCATAAAAAAGAATTAGGTCGAGGTAGTAAGAAGGGTTAGACTATCCCTCGGGTGAGAGACCTGGTATTTGGATACGCACTTCTGTTGGTATAAGAGCCCATAAAGTGTGTCGGTGTACGCGGAACAGTTGGTGGAAGTCCATGAATTCCATGTCGATTGGGTGACCGTTGGTGTAAGTCCATAAATACTCACTCCAAGAAAGACCTAGAGATTTTTAGTTAGCCATTGGGTGTGCAACACAAATGGCGGGGGTTTGGAAAGACCGATTTTGATACTCATTGCATAGCATGGGGTGAAGGTAAATAGTCGGAGTTAGGAAAGCTCGATTTTATACACATTGGCATTGCATGTGTTGTGGAGCCGAGAAGGGCTCGGGTAAATTGCATGAATGAGCATCATCTCAATTCATGGCATATTATGTTAGATTTCAACCTTGACTTGCTTAAATGTTGGTTGGAATGATTGTTGTTGTTAAATGTTGCATGTGAATATTGCATATGCACTTAGGTTTGGGAGTAGCCATTGTAGAAAATATTCTACTAGGCATTGGCTCACCCTATACGAGAAACATTTTTAGGTGCGGGGTTCGTACTGGGAGAGGACTCGCATTCGGGGCCTCGAGGGTGAAGAAAAGCCAGTTTGTGGCTTTTGAAGACAAGTTTTTATAAAACAATTGTAAAATTCCATTTTGAGCATGTAATTGTGTAAATGAGCTTGTAATCATATGAAATTAATTGTAATAGAACTTGTATGGATCATGTATAATGTAGAAAATAATTATTATACATATTTGGGATGAATTTTGAAAGGTTTTGAGTGGATTGGAAATGAAAATTTGAAGAGACATAAAATTCTGAGCAAAACCTTCCGGAAGGTCGCAACAACCTTCCAGAAGGTTAATGCAGACTTTTATTCTAACAGGCAAAACCTTCCAAAAGGTTGAAGAAAACCTTCCGGAAGATTAATGTAAATTGTTATCCAGTAGACAAAATCTTCCGGAAGGTCTATGAAACCTTCCGAAAAGTCTATGAAAAACCTTCAGGAAAGGTTTTTGGGCTATGTGTTCTTTGGTTCCAATGACTCAAATAGACCTTAAATGAGATTCATTGGAATATGTTGAATCTCAACGGGATTAAATGAATTAAAGGAAACATGTATCTACGCATAGGTTGTAATCCCGGTTACAGGGATGTGATAGACGTGATGTCGGGTTATGCGACAATCACGAGTATTTTCACGGGTTGACGGGAGATCAACGGGACCCCCGGTTTTAGGGGCGTCACACGGGGAGACACTATGCCTAAAGGAAGGAAGGAAGGAAGGAAGGAGAGAGAGAGAGTATAAATTTTAATTTTAATTTAGGAGAGAATTAAAGAATACTAATATCAAATTTAAGAAATTAATTTACAGCTACTTTTAAGGTTTTTATAATTGAACAAATTGTTAAGTGTATTTTTGGGATTTAAAAAAATAGTGGATTTAATTACTTATTAGTAAAATTAAAAAAAGATTTATTATCACATGAGTTTCTTTGATAGACTCAAATCATTATAAGTTTATCTAAGAAGGCTTAGCCCCAATTTTTACAATTATAATTCACCCATTAATTTTATTGGACCATACAAAGGTCCATAAAACAGATCATTTTTTTATAAGTTGACCCATCCAATAGATCGTATAAGATTTAAGTTCTCATTTAATGTCAACCAGATATGATCTATTCAAGTTAATAAAGAGATAAGGACCAGACTATGGTACCAAAATGGAATATTTTGATATCATACCGAAAAGTTGTCATTAGGTCAATTGAGAGCAAAATTATAATATTAGTGAGAAGTTTATGATTATAGTGAACAAAATTACAACATTAGTAAAAATTTTATAACAGCGATAAATAAAATTACCACAATAGTGAAAAAAATTACAACATCAGTGAAAAATTTACAACAATAATGAGCAAAATTATAACATTAGTGGACAATTTATTACAGTAATAACATAATTACTACAATAATGGATAAACTTTTACTACCATTTGAAGTACCAAAACTATATTTTGTGGGTTTGTGATTAATAACTAATATTGACCGATCGATCAGTAAAAAAAATTACAACATTAATGGCAAATTTTGCAATAGCAATGAGTAAATTACAACAGTAGTGGACAAATTTTAATCAATATGGTGGTAAAAGTACGATTGAAACTTTTAACCACATTTGTTATAAATACAAAATTAGTGCATTCCACTGATGTTGTAAATTTACCTTTAAGTTTGTATTATTATCAATAATTCTCATAATATTAACCAACAGGAAAATAAAATTTGTTTATGTACTAATAACCTTAACCACGATCATTCTAATCTTACAACAATAGTGGAAAAATTACCACAGTAGTGGGCAAACTTACCACATTAATAAAAAATTTATAACATTAATGCAAAATTTTTGACAATAGTGAAAATTTTACATAAGCATTGTATTTAACCCTGAATTATAGTAAATTTTTCTTTTGATGTCATAACTTTTTTCCAATTATGGTAAATTTATTCACCATGGTATTAATTTAATCTCTTTTTGTTGTAAAATTTACTCTTAATCCTTGTAATGTTACCCATAATTGTTATAATATTAACCAAAACAGTAATAATATTAATCAGAACAATCGTAAATTAACCTCTAAACTTGTAAATTTATCCACAATTGTTGTAAACTTACCCTCAAAGGTGATAAATCTGTCATTAATTATGGTAAATTGTCCACACTTTTACTAAATCTCACTCTAGTAACCCTGTGATCCATCATAGACAATTATGATCAATCCCAAACTTACAGTTTTTCAAAAAAATTAAGTCAAGGATATTTGTGATCAATCCTAAATAGTTGGGATCGATCGCAAACATCCTTTTAACTTTTAAGGTATATTCTAAACTTTTGCGATACATCATAATCTATTGGGATAGATCACAAATTTTCTTCTTAGAAAAAAAAAGAGAATTATACTCAGACCCTTTGAGGTTGGTCATTTAATCACTCAGATCCCCTGAAATTAGAAATATTACACACAAACTCCCTGAAGTTTATACGCGAGTAACACTTAGCCTCTGTTGTAAATATATCCGTTAATAAATTACACTCAGACCCCTTAAAGTTTATAAACATATATTACTTAGACCTCTTAAGTTTAAAATATTATATTTAAACCAAAAATACTTCAATCAAAGATAAAATATTATATGATCGATCATAATCTCTCAAAAAACCACTTTTAAAAGAGACTACCGTAACATTGTGATAGATCTCAAATTATTGTGATAGATCATAAACATTCATAAAATTTAATTTTACCAATTAAAAATTTCGTCAATTCAAATTAAAATTTAAAATTTAACAACAAATAAACATTCAATTTCACCAATTCAAAATTCACTTTCACTCAAATTAATATAAAATTTGCCTTCAATTTTGTTTATTAAAATTTAATTTCATAAAATTAATACCAACTTGACTGCCAATTTTACTAAACAAACATTAATTTAGTAGAGTGTAAGTGTAATATATTAACGGATATATTTACAACAGGAGTCTAAGTGTGTTAGAGTGTGTATTGAAAAAAGAGTGTTTATTTCTATAATATTTTCTCTCTCTTCCTCTCATTTCTTCCATTCTCCCTCTTTCTCCCTTTCACTATTCTCAAAAAAAAATAATATAAAAAGAATGAGAAATAGTAATATTTAAAAGGAGTAATTAAAAATATAGAAAATTTGTTGGAGTGTGTATTGAAAAAAGTGACTAACTAAAATAAAAAATATTATTTTTTGAGCAGCTAAAATAATCTTTATGGTTGGAGATGCTCTTAAACAATGAGGTAGACGGCATTGAAATTTAAAGATACTTTATATGCCCCCACTATTCCAAAGATTCTATAACCTCCGTATCCAATGCATGGTTAATAGTTAGTCAAAGTAGGCCAAGCAGTGAGGCCAAATAGTTGTCATATGGGTTTAAATTAGAAATTTTTTTATTTTTTTTTGAGGTGAAAGTACTACTGACTTCATGTTATCATTCAACAATAAGGAGAATCACCACCTATCACAATTTCTCTGTATCATGTTATTGGTAAAGAACAACAATTATAGAAAAATCGCCTAAACTTCGCAAATCAAATAAGTTCATAAGCTGTTAAGGCTTTATCTAGGAGCTGTACAGGCATCACAATTAAACCCGCAAGGAAAGTTTAGTTTGATTTGCTCAAATCTTCAAATTCAAATCCCGATAGTGTGGCAAGCTCGGGCAATTCTTTCTCTCCACTCAAAACCTGACCATTAATCACCCACGTTGGAAACCCTTCAATTGCAACGTTTGCACATGCCTCAGCTATTTTTACTCCTTTCCTGTATCCATCAGGGAAGCATTCTACGTAGTCCAACACCTTTGCTGCTTCACGTCCAAACATCTGTTTCTGTTCAACGCAATGCGAACACCAGAAAGCCCCATACATTTTAGCTCCTATTGAATGCAGATGTCTTGCAAGAGCAAGAGTGAAGGGACTTGACTCTGTTGTGATCTCAGTTGTGACAGGGTTTAAATTAGAATTAAAAATATAAAATTTAAATTAAATCTGTAACTAAAAAGATTTAAATTGAAACTGAGACAAAAGGAAAAAGTGTCCAAAAAATTGTATTAGAAACTTTTGAACACCTTCACTTCTAATCCTTTACTCACTTTAACGGTACCCTAGTTAAGGTTCCCAACTATGCTATGTGGCATGCATTGTAACCGTCAAATAGAATGTTCCTTATTAAAATATAATGTTAGTAATACTATGTATGAGGGCTAATGACTTCCATCCATTTTCATTGTTAGTATGTTTCGGAGGTTTCCAATATGAGGTGCGTTAGTACTTGGTAGGACGAGGGTTGCTAAGAACAGTGATCCGTCCCTCCCTCTCTCTCTCTCTCTCTCTCTCTCTGATTTATATTTCTGCTTGTTATTTTTTTTATTATTATTATTTCCCTGAAGTAATAGAGTAGCTAACTACAATCTTTCCCCTTGTTTTAGATCAAAGTTGTGAGCCCAAATGTGATGAAAACAAAAATCATATAGATTTATGAGGTTCTTAGAGATAAAAGTGGTTAAATTTTATGATGAATAAGATTGCACTAGTCCAGCGTTTGAAGGGGTTTAACAACACAGTGAGAATCAAGTTTAATGGTTTAAGTGAATTTAGCAATTTCTATTTTAAAACTAACACTCTTTCGTATAAACCTCATAGCTGCTTTAGATTGAAGGGGTAATACTCCATAATTTTATAAATATTAATTAACACAATTATTAAAACACAATACAACAAGAATTTAATTAAATATGTAATACAACAACATGCGATTAGGACAGTCAAAATAAAAAATAATAAATTATAAAGAGTTGATCTGTGATATCTGAAAGGCGCGTAATCATTGTTCTAAAGCAGCTATATCTTCCCACGTGAAAGTATTAATGAACTTATACAGTTCAAAAATCCAACTTAGATATGCTCACAGTTTCACCTCCTCATGAGTCACGTCCACTGGAAGATTGGGATGAACCTGACTCGAATCGTAATTGTTCAGAAAATAAACTAATTCTAAATATTTGTAGGTTTACAAATATAATTATAGGGAAAAGGAAATGTGCGGGAGGAATAACAAAACTCGATGGAAGAGTAGAGCATTTGAAAAAATGGAGAAATACTCTTCTCATCTATCCAAATTAGTCACCTACTTGTTTTATAGGCAATGTCTTTATATTACTCTTAAAATAATAAGCTTTAAATTATATAAGTATGTAATTGCTAGGCTATTAAGCCTATATTAACTTTGTAATTAATGGCATGAACATATATAACCGATATGTCCCATGAATGAAAAATAGAGTATACAATTAACTGATAATTGAAAGAATTAAATTTCAATAGTACAGTTTAAAACTGAAAAATTAATACAAAATAATTAGTTAAGTAGATTTTAAAACTTTTATTTTAATTTATTATAACACCTTCAATACATGAGCACGATCTACATGCATCAAGGCCCTTGGAAGAATTAATAAGTGACATATATTAATCACAGATTAATAGAGAAATAATTTATAATATAAAAAATGACAAGTTTTAATATGCTTATCCAACAGTATCAAATAAACTCATCCAACGACTTTTAACATTTCTCTCAAAATTATTTACATTATACCATACCTCCAGGCACGGGTTACTCCTAATTAAAAAATAAATGAATCATAGTAGAAACCTTCATCGCATCCGGAGAAGGCACAAGAAAGAAGAAACGAAAAACATTGCATTCGGAGAAGAAAAGCTAACTACTGTTTTTCTTCTGTAAGACTCACAATCACTGTAGAAACCTTCATCGCATCCGCTTATCATTTGTCTGTCTTCTTTAAAAAAAATTATCGGGAACCATTTAAAGCACATGTCATTGGGAGTCATAATTGTTATGTAAACCTTACGATGTGCGTAAGAGCAATGTTATATAGACTTAAAAATTAAAATTAGTAATTAGAATAATTAATTTCATTGTAGGTCCTAGCATTTATTGGGATTCACTACCTATTTAATGGTTGAGATTATCAAATCTAATTTTTAAATTCATATAACATTACTTTGTGCATAATGAATTATTGTTCACCGCAACCGGTTTCATATTGAAGTTTGACTTGATATTATTAGTTGTACTTCTCGGTTAAGCAAGGTAACTTGGATTCAATCAGTTGATTTACTTTATGGATTTATACCAATATTATTATTAAATTACAAATAAATTTTTATCTTATACGAAATTCACTATCAATCTAACAATAATATATATATATATATATATATATATATATATATATATATATATATATATATATCATTAGGTCAACAAATTAAAAAAATTGAATTAATTTGTAAGGTTCAATTAGTAATACTATCACTGTTTCCCTCAAAGTTACGTCCTAAGTGGTATAACTCTCATATCATCATCATCAATGAAGAGTGGCACTCCTGAGTCTGGACCCCTTGCTATACAGAAGGGGTGTTGTTTTACAAAAACGATGTCGTATTATATTTAAAACAATAGGAATGCTGTTCTACAAAACGATGTCCTTTTATTTATAAAATGGTCTCGTTTTGTGGAAATAACACTTATGTTATACAACAGAGGAAACCCCCCCAAAAAATAAAATGATGAAGGGTGGCTAGGGCTTGACAAAATGGAGGAAGTGATTGGCTTTGAAGTCAAATTCTAATAAAACTTGAACTCGACAAGCATGCATTTGCATGTTATTATTGTTCAATTGCTAATAACATTTGAACACGAGAATCATGCATTTGGATGTTATTCAAATTTGCAACTCGGGAATGAAAGTTTTTGAACTCTTCAAACTCGATGGACTTCACGGCCGACACGGAGAGCTTCGAAGTCATACCTAGGGTGTTCACCCTACTTTATAGGTAAAAAATATAGTCTTTCGTCTTCTTACTTGATACTTTACGGAAGATTTTTTTCTTGATCTACCCTACCCTACCCTACCCGATCAAGGGTGATAGTCCTACCCGACTTCCTACTTGATTAATCGGATAGAAAATCAGATAAACACTTTTGTAATTATTAATTTTTAGATCATTTTAACAATTTAATTAAATAACATACATTAATTTAACAACACAATAAATCAATAACACTAAAACCTTAAACAACTACAACAATAATTACAGTAAAACACAAGAAAGTATGAACATCAATCTATCATAATTGTTACACAACTATGACAACAATTATTTTAAGTTTAAACCATTTGAAACATATTAAAATCATAATTGTTTTAATAGATTATCAGTTCACCACAAATCATGTAACCTGCACAAAAAACAAGTCTATGTTTTATCAACTCAAACATCCACAACAATAACAATGTTATAATATAAATTATACAACACAACTATTCTTATAATTACTAAAAAAAATTAAATATATCTTTTGCAGGTAGGATAGGATAGCAATGCGAAAATTGATGGATATTCTGCATTTCTACTCGATTTAATCGAAAAACTAAAAACTCTTCCACATTTTTACATGATTTTTGCGGGTAGTCGTTCAATAAGGTAGGATAAAGTCAGGTAAGGTAAAAAATTACGTCCAATCGAAAATTTGAACATCTCTAGTCATACCCGACTTTTAAATATGAGTAATGCTATACTGACCAAAATTATGGATCAAATAAAGAGTTCAAATGACGTGACAATTGCTAATTAATTGTTATATCAGTACAAAAATGTTGTCTTCTTCAAATCAAGGACAAATGGGACATATCAGTAACCGTCATGTCATTTAAACTTTTTATTTGGTCTCTAATTTTTGTCAGCATAACACTTGTTTAAATATTGTGTTGATTTGATTAATCAACACATATAAATTTGTTTTTTGTTTTTTTTTAGGAGGGGGAGGGAGAAAGGGATTTGAATCCTTGACCTCAAAAATATAAAATATTCAGAAGATAATAAATATCATTAGACTAAAAACCTATTGGTCGATACATATAATATTTATCAGGATTACTTTGATTAAATAACTCTGATTCCACCGCTCGGAAAACAAAAACTGAACATAAGAAGAGGAAAGAAACAAAACATAAACATATTCGTAGTTCACATGGGCGGGAGCTATGCATGGCCAGGGTGGGCAAAAGTGCCCCCTCAAAAAAAAAAAATTTATTGTTTTTGTATATTTGAATAATATATTATTTGTGTTCATTTAAAATCAAAGACAAAAATACTAAGCCAACCAGCTCCACCCAAAAAAATTAAAAAAATCAAGCCCACATAAAACAAAAAAAAAAATATGGGCCCATATTGTTGAAATTTGAATATCGTACAAAAAATTAAAACTTTATTACGTTAAGTTGCGACTCAAATAGATCAAGTTGTTACTCAATAGAATTGATCCTCAAAACTTGGGATAGATCCCAAATTGTTGAAATTTGGTATCAATCCAATTTTGTAACCAATTGATTTATTAGTTGATCATATTGTATCATATGTTCTTAGATTTTTTTGTATATGGTATGCAATTTTAGATTTTTTTTACAATACTTGTTGTCATATAAATAATAATAAACAGTATTGTAAAGGCAAATAGAACAATGAGACAAATTTTTTATTTTATTAAGGTTTTCTCCAAATGACTTTAATTTTATTATTTATGAATTTTTACAAGTGAAAGTTTATTGCAATTGATCTTCATTTAACATTTTTTTTTTAGAAAAAATCGTCTCTATTTTTATTCGAGTATTAATTATAATATTTACTATGTGTCAATCGATTTAAAAATTTCTTTACTATGCTTAACTCTTAAATTTTAGTTTAATAGTTTTACTGTGTTAATATCTCAGTGTGTTTAAAACATCATTTATTTAATAAATTTAATGAAATATTAGTGAATAACTAATATTTTTTAATTATAAAAATGACAATTAACTCCATTTTTTACTATGGTGATAATTAATCATTTTTTATACATATACATATGCATTATTTTTTGGCATTTTTTTTATGTTAAATGGACTTCATGTATCAAATATGATATAATAAATATAAATATATTATATAGCGTAATTGGTTAAAAAAAATTAGAGTGCTTAATTAAAGTGTTCACCTTAAACAATTTTTTTGCTACTTCAATAAACTTTGTATTTATATCCACATATTAAAATTTCAGTGTCTGATATTCTAATAACTGTTTAATGAAACCCAACACTATTTTCAAGGTCGACCCTAGACATAGACCACTAAAGCCTCCAAGAATTTAGTCCTTAAGTATATTAAGTCTCTTTTTTTTAAAAAATTTTAAGAGCCGAAATTAATTTCTAGCCTTGTTAAGCCCAAAAATACTATTAAAAATGATTATGTCAATAAAAAAAATCTTCTATTCCCACCTATCTGTCAACGTCTCTCTCTCTCTATTACTTATACATGTTAATTAACCTCTTTCCTCCATTCAAAAAAGATTTGAACAATTTAAAACGTATAAAAATATTTTGAATTTTTATATAGTTTTGAAAAATTAAAATCTTTAGACGAAGATTGATGATAATGAATTTAAGTTTAGGTCCTTTCGAAGTCTAAAACTCCTTTGAGCTCCACCAAGATGACCCAAGTGCCTCGTCAAGGTGACATTCACCGGGCCCAAGCTGGATTGTAACCCAACTCCTTGGAAGCCTAAAATAGTTCAACTCACAATAGATGTCAGATCAATATCAACAAGTTTAGTGCTAATATCTGTTCTGGAGTTGGGAGCTCGTCAACAAGTAGTTCATAAGTGGCTTTACCGCAACACGTGAACATGAGATACGGGGATAATACTTGACAATTCCAGTAAACGAATATTCATCGACACTAGAGATGGTTCACGTATTCCGTTCAAAGTATAGTGGGCATAAGAAAACTTAAGGGAGGTCGTGTAATAGCCATCTTCTTCTCCAAGCAAAACAACCTCCAAAGAAGCAAAAACCTCCCTTATAATGGATGTAATCTTAGTTTTTTGACTAAAGTGACCCACTCATACATCTGTCTTTGTAACACCTTCACCACTAAGCACATTTTTTGTCACATATATACATATTCATTCCCTCTAGGCCACATTCCAAATTGTTCTATAACTGGGTAGGTAACTTTCGAGCACCATCAAAGATAATTTACAAAATTATTGTCTTAAACTTGAAAATTTTTTAAAACATGATATATCTACTGATATTGATAGCTTAAATTTATTTTTAGAATTAAAAGTTTTATAATACGTTTTAAAATTGAAACGAATACTCCAATTAAAATACTAAACTACATAAAAAGATTATATTTATTTCCGAATGCAAATATTGCTTATAGAATTTTATTAACAATACTAGTAACAGTCACTTCAACAAAAAAAGAGTTTTTCAAAACTTCAATTGATAAAATTTTATTTACAGTTAACTATATCCCAGGATTAACTATATTATCTATTAAAAAAGATTTATTTAACAAAACTTGAATATAAGAACTTGATAATTTTCTTTTTGAATTATAAACTTGTATTAAAACAAATGAAAGCTTGCACAGTCATAAAACTGATAAATTAAACATAAAACATATTATCTAAGACTATTCAGATATTACTGGCTCTAATATTTCATATTAAGTCTAATAAAATTATTCAGGATATATTAGACCTTTTTTTAATGTTTTTCTTATTTAGCCGGGGTCTCACATAAAAAACTTGCCAACATATCGTATTGTCTTAAAGTCATAGGAATGTAATATAAAATGTACAATAAATTGTATAATGATGAATGACTTCAGAGTCAGCATCAGCCAACTGTAAGAGGATTGCGACTGAATTGGAATGGTTGTTCATTAATGCAATAGCGTGATAGTTAATTCTTTGGAGTTTTTTTTTTTAGTCTATTTCATGTGTTATATACGTATGAGTTTCGAATATTCATATACATTATGAACTCAAAAACAAAAGAATATATATTTATACAAACAGGGGAATAACGTTTTAGGGTATAAGTCAAAATTCAATTCCAAAATAAAAAAAGCCTATCCTGTCCAAAAAATTTCGGTCATTACGGGGTTTCAAGAGATTCATATGCAGTCAATCTTACCCCTTCAAGTATGAGTGACTATTTCTGTAATTTGAATTCATGACCTTTAGATTACAATAAAATAACTTTATCGTTATGTTAAGGTTCAATAATTCAGTTTGAAAATAAAAAATTAAAAAGAAAAAAAAAACTGATGGGTATAAGTCAAAATCAAAGAAAGCTCACCTGCTTTGTCACTAAAAAATTTACACATGCATCCACCTTTCTTTTATGATTAAGACTGTATGAACTTAAAAATTAGACTTAATAATCTCAATCATTGATTTTACTGTGAGTCCCAGCATATATTGGGACCCAATACCTATTTAATAGTTAAAATTATCAAATTTAATTTTTAAATTAATTTTTTAAGTTCACGTAACATTACTCTTCTTTTATTTAATAATTATTTTGACATTCACGCAATACACATGCATGATGCTCTTCTTTTATTTAATAATTATTTTGACATTCACGCAATACACATGCATGATGCACATATATACTTGCTTTCCGATCCCTATAAATTGAAGAGAATTAAAGCAGATCCTCACAAGCTCTAAAACCGAAGGTGTAGGAGGGAAAAAATGGGTGCCATTCAAACTCTTATACTCTCTAGATCAACCATTAAACCCTCCTCTCCCACTCCCCTTCACCTCCGAACCTTCAAGCTTCCATTCTTCGGACAGCTCCTTCCTCCATTCTACAGTGAAATCATCTTCTTCTACACACCCACAACCAAAAACAGTGCAGGCATGTCTGATACCATCAAGGATTCACTGTCTAAAACCCTAACCATATTTTACCCACTTGCTGGGAGACTCAAAGATGCCTGTTCCATCGACTGTAACGACGAAGGGGCTTATTTCTTGGAAGCTCGAGTCAACTGCCAAATCTCTGACGTTCTTCGAGAACCTGATGCTAAGTTGCTGGGGGGTTTCCTTCCAGTCGAACCCAGAACGTCCGAGATATCTGCAGGTTGCATGCTGCTCGTTCAACAGACAATTTTTGACTGTGGTGGAATAGCAATTGGAATGTGTTTTCAACACAAGATGTTTGATTTATCCTCCATGTGCTGCTTTTTCCAAAACTGGACTGCCATGGCCACTGGAAATTCCGATGCAGTAGTGTGCCCAAAATTCATCGACGCATCGTTTATGCCACCAAGAGAAGGCTTCATCACCCCCACCACGGGTTACGCAACCACGGAGAATTATACAACAAGGAGGTTTGTATTCGAGGCGTCAAAAATAGCTGTTCTTAAAGAAAAAACTGCCGGAGAAAATGAGCAGAACTACCCTACTCGTGTTCAAGCAGTGTCTGCGTTTATCCTCAAACGCACCATAGCTGCGGCTCGACTGAAATCGGGGTCCGAAACACCAACTGTCTATCTACAGACAGTGGACTTGCGCAGATGGGTAGACCCACCATTGCTGAAAAACTCCATAGCTCATTTCGTTTGGACACATCCTGTAATCATCGAGGAGAGCGACATAGAATTACCAGACTTCGTAAGCAAAATCAAGGAAAGATTCACTGAATTCTGCACAAAAAAGGCGAACAGATTCAAGGGTGATGAAGCTTTTCAAGTGATTCGCGAGTCGCTTGAAGAGTACAGTGAATTGTTCAAGAGCCCAACTATTAGTTGTACAAGTTGGTGCAAATTTCCATTGTACGAAACGGATTTTGGATGGGGAAAACCAACATGGGTAAGTAGTCCAGGAAATCAATTTGGGAACTTAATTCTATTGGTAGATACAAAGTGTGGGACTGGTATAGAAGCTTGGGTGACCTTGGATGAAGAAGTGATGGCCATCTTGGAACATGATGAGGAGCTCCTAGAAGCTGCTTCCTTCAACCCGAGTCCTCTTGAAGAACAATGTTTAATCTTCCCATCTAAAACTGCTTGAATTGGATATGTGGCATTGCTGCTAAGTTGAAAAAAAGTTGGTCCTTGTTATAAATTGGTATGAGACTCTTAAATATTCCAAAAAGTTATAAATGATCCCCAAATAATTATAACTTAACTCTAAAAATTGTAACATGACCTACAAAATTACAATTTTTTTTGGTTATATACAAACTTAAAAATTAATATCTCAACCTATAAAACTTATAAAATTTAATAGTACAATACAAATTTGTTTTTAGTACCGTCGTAATCTTCCCTTCATGCCTATCACATTATATACAATATAGTTTGTAAGGTCGTCTTGTCACAAGAAGTTATAAGTGATTCTCAAAAAATTATAACTTGAACTTTTAAAATTATAAACTTTTTTTGTTATGAATGAACTCAAAAATTTACGTCCCAGCCTACAAAACTAATAAAATTTAATAGTACGATACAAAATTTGTTTTTAGTACCATGGTTTTCACGTCATGCCTCTTACATTATATTTATCTATATAATAAAATAGTTAAATTATTTGTCTTGAATTTTTTGTAGTTCAAACCTTTTGAAAATTATTGATCCCACGATTCTAATTGAACTTAATTCTAAAACTCTCAATCTCTCTCTCTCATATCTCTTAGACGTAATGCACTCTCTCAACTCTCATATAACTCATACGTCTTATAAATGAGCAAAATTTTATTTATTGCTTAAAAATTATAAATTTTATTATATTCTGTTAGTATTTTTTTTTTCTGAGGTATTTGTATATGTAATATTGTTTTGAGGAGTTTTTTTATATATTTTTCTGAGAGTTCTATTAACCTAGAGGATATGGTACGTCGACAATATATTTAGGGTCATTTTAAAAAAATTTATATGAATGCTTTGGGCCATTTTCTTTTTAAAGCTAGACAATTACTTTCAATTTTTTTTGTCCTATATACTAGGGATACAACTTGAGTTAGGCAACTTGATTTTAACCTGAGCCCAATCCGAAAAAATTAGAACTTGGGCAAGGGTTTTTAATACTTGAGTTGGACTTAACTCAAAAAATTTCAACCCGAATTTAATTTGGGTTAGACTCGAGTTAAAGCCTCGTGAACCCGACAAATTAAAAAAAAATTATATATATATATATATATATATATATATAATATTAGCACTGATTTTTCATTTTTGATCTATTGTTCTTTGTCTCTCTCGTTCTTTTTGTTTCTCTCGTTCTCTTAGCCTCTCTTGTTAAAAACTTGGTTGAAGTTATTGGTTGTTATTTTAGGTGAATATTATGTAATATATGTATTAGGTTTAGAACAACAAGTTTATTTTAGGTTCTACCCGAATTGAACCCGTAAAATAACCCGAAATTATTAATTCAAATTAAACCCAAGCCTGCCCGAATTAAACTCGAACAGTACTCGGGTTGAGTTTTCCAATCCGAGTTAGGGTTAAAGATTATATACCTAGAATTGAGTTAGGGTTGATTGTCCAACCCGTCCAAATTGCACCCCTACTATATAGACACGAAGAATGACTAATATATATATTTTTTTTTTTGAACAAATACTAATATTCAAAATAGTGTGTAAGGTCGTCTAGTCAACTTCTTGTGGAACTGTCCGTGGTGCAATTATTCCGGGGTTTCTTCCACTATCACTATGAGAAGACTCTTTGAAGCTGACGTAGCTTGACTTTGAGGCAAATAGTTTTCCTTTTTTTTGTATATAATTTTTTTTGTTTTTGAACGCACTAAACGTGTTTCTCACCACAAAGAAATTTGATGGTCATTCATCAATTCTGTCACATTTTAATTTGATCACCACATTTGATCAAATCCTAATCCTAGTTGATCAAGGTTACCCACAATATTCTATTTCCCATTGTTGTTTATTTGTCTGCTTTTCTCCAACTTACAAGTAAAAGTTGATACACTAAACCCCTGGTAAACCAGTAACACCTTCCTCGGTTGGGTTCTGAGCACTGGAAAACTTTTATGGATTTGATGATTTTAGGCATGGTTCATCCAGAGTATAGGATCGACACATTTGAATATGTTATAGAATCTTTAAATCATATGATCGTGATCTAAATCTTATAGAATCGTAGAGTTCCAATTCGAATCATGATTTTATCGAGCCAAGTTTTTGGGTTCATTTGTTAGGTGCATTTAGTTCTTGACCTCACTCAATTCATATCTATTGTTTTAATACTTAAAAGACGCAACCCCATGTGATTGTCAGTCCATTGGGGGCTTTCGACATATGAGAAAGTTATAAATAATTTTTTTTATTTGTTTATCTCTCTTGCTAAAAAGTTAAAAACAACAGTTAGATTTGATCACCTTTCTCGGCAAGTGATAATACTCAGATAGTCTTTCATTTTTATTCTTTTTTTATTTTATTTTTTTGTATTGGATGTCGAGCATTTTAAGTTATTATTCAACAGATTCTCAACTTTTCAGTGTTTGTTCTATATCAATCTTGCTCAACATTACAATCAAATACTTCAATTCTCTTATTTCTCTTTGTAAAATTCAACAAAATTAACAATTTGTATTTGATTTTCAACCCTCTTCAATATTCGATCAGATTGTAATTTCTCATATTTTAAATACTTCTGTGAGTTTTATATTTTTCATAACATCTCTATCTACATATATACTAGACACTAGACTCGTTTAATTATTATTTTTATGAACTCTATATCATTATATATATGTTCCGTCTCATTTTTTCAATTATTAAAATCTTACGATTTTTTATCCGATCCCACGATTTTTTATCCTTTAACCTACCCTATTGAAGGTATGATTCCAATTTTAGGTTTGAAGTTTCAAGCATATCATTGATTAATGGGATAAGATTATTAAACTTGATTGATCCAATGAAACATTATAATTGAAGAATCAACCAATCAGCTAGGTATTTTGGAACTAGTGGCATGGTCATTTTGTCAACCACTTGAAGGATAGTGGGAGTCGTACTGATAATGAATTGATGCTGCTTTAGATCATCATAATCTCGGGTTTTTTTTTTTTTTCTTCCAGTGCTCGGTTTCTCAAATCAGAACTGACTTCAAAACTATCAAGTTTTCAGGTTGTGTAATGGATTAGACACGGAAACAAAATAAAATAACATACATCTAACTTTTTTTAGATCTCGTAATAATGGGAATCTTATGCACAAAACTGTCGCTTTTTAATGAGAGAAAGAAGCAAAATTAAGGTGGAGATTAATGGAGGAAAAAGAGAGAAAGGTATGCACTAAGAAGGTACCAGTGATACTGATATGCAACTGCATATCAGGGACCTCTAGGTCAAAAGAGCAATCACTTTGCTGCTCTCGTCAAGTCATAGAGAGGACTAATTGTGGAATTACAACCTGTTACGACAGCGATACTAGGAAACCTCTTCTTAACTTAGTCAAAAGAGCACATCAATTGGTTTTATAGTGGCAGATATTAGAGCATGTTCATATCTAGAAGAAATTAAGTGTCATCGCGTCATTGATACGTAATATCACCACAAAATATTACATAGATTTATAGAATCTTATAAAAATGAAATTACTACCACTCTCATCATAATCAAATAGAATTTGGATTGGGAAAAAAGAATCGATCCGTCAATGGGTTTAATATATATGATTAATTTTTATTAGAGCATCTCCAACAATGTTATCCAAAATAGCTACTCAAAATATATTTAAATATCGTATTATCTACTTTAGCTAATCATTTTTGCAAATTTACTCTAACAACGCTATTTATTTTAACTAACCACTTCAAGTAACTTTAACTAACTATACATTGTACAAATTTAATCAATTATAGGCTACAAGAGAGAATCCACCTCCCAAAAATTATTACTCCCAAACCAAATTCTCTTAAATTAAATCACAAAATTTAAAACAAAATCACCTCAAAACTTTCAAGTTTGATCGAAAACTTCTGAAGGCTTCAAGTTTGATCAAACAAGATATCATCGTCTCTCTATCGATTTCCTCATCCAAACACTAGACCAACAACTTCTGAAGTAACTAGGGAGAAGTGGCTAACTAGATATAACTAGTGAAAATTGGGTTATAAAAAAAAGATAGGGGCATAACTAGTCTGTTTAAGCCACATTTTAGGGAAAAATTATCTAAAATAGCTAATAAGGGGGGTTTTAGCTAGCCTGTGGAATTGCTCTAGATAATGATATCATGTATCATGATATAGTATAACGTGATAACGAATATTTAAAAAGTTATTACTTGCTCTTGATTTGTTGTTTGTACCCTTTGTTAAGTTTCTTTCTGTCGTCCTTTTAAACAAGTCTCTAGTCCAATATAATCAAAGCAAAGCATATTAATTAATAATTTAAGCCATTCTCCTACATTTTCTAATACTTGAAAATTTTTCTTAATTTCCATGACCAGCAACTTTTTTATTCAGAAAGATCTAGACTTTGCCCAAGTAAGTTTAACTAGTCAAGATTGTGATCACTTGGATGATTGAATTCACTTAATTAGTCAGCCTAATCCAGAAACTAGTAATAATTCTATATCTAAAAGATATTTTATAACACTAAAAACCGAATATTGATCGTACAATATTTATAAAAAAAATTATTTTTCTCTTTAATCACATAATTTAAAAATTAATGAACAAAAATAAAATAAGGAAGAGGTAGGGAAGAGAGGTATAGGTGTGAATTTGTGGATTTGTCTAGTACGAGAGTCGTGTAATAAAAATAATATTTTTGAGAGGGAAAAGAATTTTTGGGGTGAATTTTGTACCATTTAATCAAAATTGATAAAAATTAAATGAATCTTAACTATTATTATATTTTTGTAAGTTAAAAATTTAGCTTTTTAACTATAATATTGGTTGACACCTACTTATTTATCTATCATTTGCATTACTCTATCCTTTAAAATTTTTATGTTTAATACATAGAAAAGAAAATAATACATTATTTATAGTATTTAAATTTTTAAAACTTCAAATTCTGATATTAAGAGACTTATTTTAAAA